CTGATTGCAGTATGGCATGGTTCAATTGACCTTCTTTACAACTATAAGTCAATAATAAGTGTGCAAATATAGGTTTATTTATCTAAAAATGTGTACAAAATATTGAAACTCTTAGCACATGGATTTGGACAGATTTAAATAAAATTAAGATAATTAACTATTTGTAACTAAAATTATAAGCAGACTTTAGACAGGAGAGGACAACGGAGCTCTCAACATCTCTAAATGGATGTACTTACAATTTTATGCTTTTTGAAATATAGGGAAACCCTGGTTAAAATGGGTTTCCCTGAAGGGCCTAAAGTTTCTAAATCATTGAAGTAATTTTGCTCTGGTAACTCAGCAAGTGATCTGTCTCCCTCGCTTTGTTCCCAGAAAGAAAAGCCAAAAATAAAATTTAGAATAGGTCACTTTTGCAATGCAAACCTCTTGTATATGAGGCCCACATTATATAAATTTAGAACAAAGAATCAAATGAAAAAAGTTAATTATCAGCCAAACAAACCTGTAAAAATAGCTCGGGTGTCCCCTCCTGGGCCCCAAATATTCCTTTATGAAGAGAAGTTATCCAGTAAGATTTAAATTTATTTTACAGAATGATAATTAATGTTTTAAAATTAGTTCTTGAAAGACAATCCACTTCTTATCTGAAAAATAAAAAATGACATATTTATCATATCATACATAAGAAAGAGAAGAACAAGGGAAAAAGAAATACTGATATTCTGGGTTGGAAATTAAAGAGAGCTCTTAATCAATTAAACTGAACAGTATTATTTATGAACATATCCCCTCTTTTTGCAAAACAAAATGAGTTCATGTCACATTTATCTATTAATTTGATTTGATGTGTTTGATTAATCTCAAGATTAGTTGTTATCATTGTTTGAAATTGATAACATAAATCAAGCTTAGCAATTTTGCATAAGGCAGTAACTTAAATCGGGCATGCATGCCAGGTTTCTAGATTTAAGGTGTTAAATTACTAAAACAGTTAACAAATGTTTTAAACATGTTAAAGTCCAATAATGGACTAGAAAATGTATTTGTTATTTAGAATTTGTATAAAATCAGTACACAAGGCTGACAGACTGTCTTACTGTAATTTCCATGCAATATCTGGATTGATATATATTTTCTAGAACACTCATTTTTCTGTTCTAAAATTATATTTGATATTTTAAAATTAATTTTCACTTGATTGATCACCAACTTTCCATCTTTGGATAAACAAAGACTGAAGAAAAGGGAATTGTGATTACACTGCACAATTCCCTTTTCTTCAGTCTTTGTGATTACACTGCAGTGAAAAAAAATCTTACAATGAATTGTAATTAATGTAATGAAGTCACTTACATTGAACTTGAGCAGGAGAAGGTTTGTCGTAACCATTTTCGGAATCTTTTCATTTTCTGAAATGCAGAAAACTCATAAATTATGGACAGGTCCATTAGTTTACCGAAATACAGATGCTAGATATGCTCTAAGTATGGTTTTATTGCTGACATCATAGTGAAATTATATAGCTAATTTAAAAAAAAAATGTGACTAATCAACTGTCTACTTCTTTGGAGATTTTAAAAAGGTTGTGTACCTTTAACATTCAGATACCAACAGTGATAAAACAATAAAAGTTCTATATTTGTAGAGTTCCTCGCATTCCTATTTGAGTGATAAAGAAAACATGATTGGTATTTTTAATTACCGATGAAAGCATTTTGTGTGAGACAGATATTTAAAATTAATGATTACAATGTGCTTCATTTTTTTAAATTGTAAAGAAGAATTTTGATTATAAACATATTTCAACAACTTCCAATTAAAAGAAATTAATTATAGAAATTAATTATATAAAACCAACACCCAGTTTCTTTGGTTTTCCCATCTTTGTGTCATTCATCTCTTTCTCCTGAAAATTAAGAAATGAAATTAGATTTACAAACAAAATCCATATGCATAATAGGTCTCTCATTTGCATTTTGTGCAATTTTTGTAGGACTTTCCAATGATTTTAGGAAAGAGGAGATAGCTATAGGACAGAAGGACAAAGTAATTTCTATATGCCTTCAAATAATTTCACTTGCAAGAGGGGGATCGGGGGGGTGTGGGGGGGGGTAATTTTTTTTTTTTTTTTGATATATTTTATCTGTTTTTTGGCTGTCTTTTTTCAAAAATAAAATTTTCCATAAATAGTTTGTCCAATATACAGGAATAAATTGTCCCACCTACCTGTTTTATGAGGGCACGGCGTTCCTTTAAGTGCTTTCTGACGAGAAACCCTTTGGATTCAGCTTGAAGCAGTATAGTAGATTTTCTGATTCTTTGGTAGAGGTCTCTGGCCTGCTTGCCTCTATAACAGGCCTGCATTCCCGTACGAAATTCAGAGACGTATTACGCCTGGATTTTTTGCAAATCCGGGCGTACAAGAGACGTATTCTTAAAAATACGGTTCATTTTCAGGCGTACACGTATTTTTGCCAGAAATACGTCTCCTTTTTTCCAGGCGTAAATTCTAAATCCGGGCGTATTTTCTACTTAGTCTCTTTGGCACAAGGAAAATAAAACTTAAAAAATTTCAAAAGGCGTATTTTTGAAAATTCTGGTGGATTTTTCAACTTAGCCAAAAAAACTTAGTCAACTCATTCTCTTTTTTTAAAAGTATTGAGTTGCATAAGAAACATTTTTATGATATATCATATAACTTAAACAGAAAAACAAAGTATATTGTATGCTTGTATACATTACAATATTGCATTTAGTTTGTTGTATTAAATATCAAAGCAATTATTTTTCAAAAATTAAACTGATTTTTTTTAGAACTTTATCCCATATGGACCTGAAATTTTGTAATTCCCATTTTTTCTTAAAATTTATATTATTTTTCTTAACACAAATGATTTTTATAACTGTAAAGTAAATAGTATATTCTTTGAACTTTATGAATATATTATTGTTTAGCCAGGCTATTAACATACATGTTATTACATCAATTAAATATTTTTCTTATAAAATGATTTATATTTGGTATATCATGTATATTTAGATACTCTATTACATTACCATCAACTTTCACTTCCCTAGCCTAACTGCTGGGATTGTGCTAATTACTTACAGATGTGTTGAGCATGTTTAGGAACGACTTATCTGTGATGTTGTAAACCAAAGAACGGCTTATCAATTTATATCCGGTTTGTGTACAGCAGTTCTATTTCCCACCCTAATATCTTATAAAATAAGTGAATTCATAAAGTGAATACACCTAAGCTTGTTTATAGTCATTGATGGAATTTTATTTTTATGTTCTGTAAACAAAACAGCATTTTTATTCAAAAATTACAAATTGTACTGAGTAGAACTTCCAGAAATCATAAAAGAGTTAAGCTTACTAGGGGGTTGTAAACAACAGCATCTGCATCCAAGTATTTGCGCCAATTTTAAACCACCAGGCAGGTCATGCCAAGAACATGAAGAACAATGAGATTAGAGAAAGCCACAACAAAGTACAGATGGTGTAGAAGAGGTAAATATTTTGAAAACATAGCTTAACATTGAAACTTTTTATCTATGAAAATAAAAGACAGCTGCATTTGCTTTTGATTTGCAGAGCCAGATGTTAAAGTCATATAGGCTATATGAACGCAGAATTTCGTGTGAAACAAAATGATTCATGATTTAAAACACATGAAGTGTAATGAAAAATAATACTTTCCACAAAACTGTATTATAGATTTCGTTGTAATAACAAAACAATTAAACAATATCTAGGAATTTAGAACTCAGTCTTTTCGTGAATATTGATGAAGGAAGTGCGTAAAAAGTAGGTCTAAATATAGAAACACAGGTCCACGGGAAATCACAGACAACGAGGTATGTTGCATTTTGACAACAATTATTAATATAAGGTTAATATGCATCATTACGGAGAAGATGGTTGATACTGAAAATACATTAAAAGATAAGTACCATTAAGTAGGACGCTTGCCATCCACGTCAAAAGTGAGTAGTATCTCAAACGGCCTACCTTGTTTTCTTAACGCCACGTGTGTTTATCAGTCTAAAAGTAGCAACGGCGTCACGTGATTGATTTATATATAAATAGCTATTTTTCTTTCCTTGCAGGATAATAAAAAAATATAATTTGATAACTTTGTAACGCATTTTATTTTAATGGTGTAATTTACAGTATTTTCCTAACTTTTAATGATAAACAAATTATATCAATTTCCAATCGTATTTTAACTGGCGCAAGTTATAGCGTGTATACTTTTAATGATTGAAAATTGGGTCAGTAGTATTTTGAATTACATGAATTATTTTCTAGTGTTTTTCTTTTCCCAGAAAATGATTTACATCTAAATCCTTATCACAGTTGGAAAATTGATTGAATGATGAAATGGTCATAAGAGGAGGAGAAAAGATCTTGCAATATTAAGAGTTGACCAGCAGCATAGCTTTCCATAAATGCAATTGCCAGTAAACTGCAGCCATTGGAAGATTGCATCAGGAAGAAGATGACTGTTTGCAATGCTAGTTATAAAACATTCAAACTTCTTTTTGTGAATATTTCAATCTATGAAAATGTGATTGGGGAATGTGATGTGAAACATGAATGACAGAATTGCTTGTGATTTTCATCTTTTATGCCAATTTAGGAGTAAAAAGAATGACAGGAGTACTCGGCATGATTCTCAAAACTGTGATTCACTGTGATTATTGGAATGTTTCAACTGTTTACTATAAAACTCAGCCTTAGATGTTAAAATGCTGTGAAACGGTTAATATATTCTAACATGTATTTGTGCTTTGAAATAGTAAATGTAAGATTATGTTTTTTTAAATTTTAATGACAATCCTTTATTTGAATCTCATTTACATTTTATCACACTGAAAAATATTAAGAAAATAAAAGTGATGTATGCTAAGCTTAATTTGTCTAATCTTTTTTAGTATATGTACCGTAGTCAAAAATCTTTGTACTAAAGTTGATTGTACATTAATATTCATGCTAAAGTTGTAGCTACCATTGCTGTAATATAATTAATATTTCATTCAAATCTATTTAAAGCAGGCATATTTTTTGTACAGGCGTATTTTTTTGTACGGGCGTATTCTTTTATACGGGCGTATTAATTTTGCAGGCGTATTTTTTAGGGTATGCTTGAAATCTAGGCGTAATTCTATTTTTAAAATTTCCAGACGTATTTTGAATTTCCAGGCGTACTCATTTGCATATTTCGGCCAAAAATACGGGAGGATTACGCCTCGTGTACGCCTGTATTTTACATTATACGCCTGGTTTTATATATTCATTTCAATAGAGATTTCTACAAGGATTTTTAGATTAAAATACGCCTGGATTTTAAAAAAAAATACGTGACTTAAATTTCGTACGGGTGGTCACAGCTGCTGTTTTCAGATCAAGGTATTTCTTTCGGGTCTCTTTCCTGGCTTGATATGCTCTATATCGGCTCTGTATTATCCGTGCTGACTTCTTCAATTTCACGTACCTCTTTTGGTCGATACATTGACGCATGAAAGATTGAATGGTAATTGCTGCTTCCTAATAAAAAATAGATTGATAAAAATCTAAAATTAAGTACACTGTATTCAGTGCTGTGATTTACTACATGTAATTATAATTTTCAGGAGTTATATAGGCCACAGCAACAAACAAGCCATCAATTTACATACATGTATATAAAGGTTTCTTATTTTGGACACCAACCTAGTTTAAGATTTCAAGAATTTGAAATTCATGATGCAGTAAATTGCTTTAAGGTACATTGATATTCTGATGAAAGATAACTCTTAATGACACAAATGTCTATTATTCCTTTATAAAGTTGTCAAGTTTAAGTGCCTTTTTTGGCAAATTTTACCCAGCAAGCCATGCTAAAATTGTTTGTATTTTATTCAGCATATACATTTCCTTTGGAAAATCATAAAAGTTGAAGAAAAATTTCATATGAGCGAGCAGAGGGTTTATGAACCTTAAGTCAATGCAATAAAGGAAGGAATTATAATTGTTTTCTTAGAAAATCTAAAAGGTAAAAAATGTTGATTATTCCAAACATGCATATACTGTAAATATATTTTATTTAGTGTGTACAATATTTGAAAATAAGTTTATAACTAAGTTAGCGTAAATTTGATTTATCGCATTTCTTGCAATTCTTATTTATGTGTATATAGGCAAAACTTGCAGCTTTGTATTTGATTTAGCGGTTGCGGCGTTCCGCCAAAGCCGCTTAAAAGAATACTCAGCCAAATGTAATACGTTTACAGTATTCTTCCCCTATCAGGGACTTGAGGGGCAATTAGAAAGGAAATTATTTCACTATAGTTGTTACATGTAAGGTGGGGAAATTCTCCAAACCTAAGGTCATAGGGACAACCCTGGGTATAATTGATATTTGTATTTTGGCAGCTGTTTGTTTTCTTTATTTATCATCAGAATTTGATCATGCTATTTTTAAAATGATTTTGATTCCCCTGTAAACTAAGTTTCGGGGTGGGTGGGTCATTTAATTTTTGTTGTGTCTGTCTGTCTGTTTGTTTACAAAAACTTTAACCTTGCCCATAACTTTTGATTTAGTTGAGCTAAGACTTTTATATTTGATATGTATATTCCTTGTGACAAGGCCTTTCTTTGGGTACCAACAAATTTGACCTTGACCTTGGAGTTTGACCCACTTTTACAAAAAAATTTGAAACTTTTACTTTGGCCATGTCTTTTGAACAGTAGATACCAGGACTTTTATACTTCATATGTGTTTTTTTTCGTGGAAAGATATTTCATTGGATACCAACAACCTTGACAATTTGACCCTAATCTTGGAGATTTCCATACTTATGGAAAAACTTTAACCTTGGCCATAACTTTGAAGGCTAAGGACTATTGCTTTCATACTTCACATAATTATGTAATCCTTGTGAGAAGACCCTTTATTGGATACCAGGAACTTTGACCCTTTGACCTTTGAGTTGGATCTACTTTTAAAAAACAAACCTTCAACATAACTTTTAAACAGTTAGGGCTAGTGCTTTCATACTTTTCATATCCTTGCAAGAAGATCTTTATTTGGATACCAACTACCTTGACCTTTTGACCTTGACCTTAGAGATTTCCGAAATTATGAAAAACTTAAACCTTGGCCGACTTTCAAAGGCCAGTTGTATTTCCAGTAAGAATACCCTACTTTGGGTACCAATATATAAAATTTGCATTTACGAAAAGTTTAATTTTTGCTTAATGTTGCCATACAGGGGCATCAGTAGTTCACAAACATGCACATCTTGTTTCCATAAAAAATGGTCCCATCTAGCAGTTTTATGATGGCACTGCAAAGTTGTTTCTTGTCTTCACAAAGTGATGCATATTTTTGACATTTTGACCTTTACCTTTGGATATAATGATGTGCACTTAGAGACTACAACCCTTGTCATTAGCTACCATACTGCAGCATCAGAGTTTTAGAAACATATTTCGTTATCATCAGTATTTAATCATGCTGTTTCTAAAATAATAATATTTTCCATGAATAAATTGTTTCATTAATACCTCTTTAATGAGGGCACGGCGTTCTTTTAAGTGCTTTCGGGCTAGAAACCCTTTGGATTCAGCTTGAAGCAGTATAGTAGCCTTTCTGATTCTTTGGTAGAGGTCTCTGGCCCGCTTTCCTTTATAACAGGCCTGCATGGTCACAGCTGCTGCTTTCAATGCAAGGTATTTGTTTTGGGTCTCTTTCCTGGCATGACATGCTCTATATCGACCCTGTATTATCCGTGCTGACTTCTTCATTTTCACGTACCTCTTGTGCTGTATACATTGACGCAAAAAAGATTGAAGGGTAATTGCTGCTTCCTGAAAAAAAATAGATTAATCAAAGTCTAAAAATTAAATATTCAATGCTGTACGTAAAATTCTACATGTTATTAATTTTCACGAGGTTATATGGGCCACAGCAACAAACAAGTCACTCGTTTAGTACAAACACGGATATAGCGAATTTACGGATATAGCGAAGTCTGAGTGAGTGATCTTTGATCCCGAGCTATATAATTTAATATTTACATTTCTAATGTCTTTGTCCGAGATAAAATTACAAATTGTAAATGTACTTTATTTCCCCTTGACGTTGCGCACGGTGTTGGTACACATTGACGTTACGTCAAAATAGCGTTATTTAAGTCACAACGTTGTTAAAACACTTTGAAACTTATACATACATTTTACAGATTTTAAAATGAATTTTATTTTTTCAAAAATAATGTAACAGGACACAAAATCAATGTTTGAACCTTCTTTTTGAAATATTTAGATATTTATTAATAAATCTATAAATAAATTGTAAATTTTTAATCACTGAAATGTCAAACGCACTCGGTGAATATCCTTTATTCCTCTTTCTATTTTTTCTCTTTTTGCAATGCCTGTCTTTTAAAGAAAAACACTTAGGTAGCTTTCCCTTTCAACCATTTCTCCTTCATTTTTTTTTTCAGTTAGGTCTTTACAAGTTTTCTATTTCTATATAGCGTCCGCATGCGCCTTGGTTGTATAGAAAAAATGAGAGTTAAAATTTTCACACTTCCTACATTTCCATGGAACTGGTCGTCATTTTGAATCTAAAAAAAAATATATGCTGAGTGCAAGACTAGATTTTTTAATTACACTTTTTGTGCCGATCATAATGTATATTTGTGTTGTGAATATGTTTTTTTATGATAGGTAATCGCTATCTAATCTTGTCTGTCTTATATATATTGGATTGAAATTTTCTTGCTTAGTAGGCTGCTGATTAGTCTAGTCTTGAATACTACAGAACATAAAAAAAATCATCTTGAAGCTCAAGTATCAATTTTATAAATTGGGTGGGGGGGGGGGGGCATTTAAAAGGAGGGATGGAGACTTTTTATCATTATTGAAAATCTGGTTAATTTCCAAAATCAAATCTTTTACTATTTTTGGTCAAAGAAGGGGGGTGCTCTTATATTGTATGCTTCGTACAGTGGGGTATTTTTCAGTGGAACGATAGTATTTGGGGGTTTTCATGATTTTTTTCCCTATGATACACATGATGATTAAGTATAATAAATATAATTTGTGAAAAAAAAATGTCCAACAAGCTCCGGGGCTGAATATCGGGGGATGGGGATGTACTGCGGTACCTGGTACTACGGACCTGCAGGAAAAAAAAGCACGGCAATAATAATTTGATGCTCCCGACGTCGTATATATATACGTAATGCGTAAAATGACGTTTTTCGTACCTGTGACAAAATGGCTACACTTTTATTGATGTTTGTATTTATTTCATGCAGACCATTACTGTAAAAATTATGTAATTATTTAATACAGTATTACATGTTCTTTTAAGCTACAGTAATTATAGGTATATATCTTACATTAATTTATATATTTTTGATATGTAAATAAGACATGTTAAGTAACAATGCATTGACTCGTGCGTGTATAACAAAATGGCTACACTTAAGAAAGCCTTCCTAATATTTACGTTGGAAAAGTAATATAATATGTATCAACTCTATTAAACTTAGAAATATATGTACTAAAGGATTTTTTACCAAAATTTATGTTTGTCTGGAATTTATGTCTGGTACACATCACCATTCGGCTAATGTCAATGTAAGGAAACAATTTTTTTCAGTTAGACATTTTACTTACGCACTGTAGATCCAGTTCAAATTTACGAAATTGATAAAATGATGTTAGAAACGCAAAAATATCTTAAAGAATGCATATATCTTATTGTATCCCCTAAATTTTATTTAATTTAGAGGATTGTAAGAGCATTTTTTCATACCTTGTAGTTGCACGAACAATAACTGGTGTAACGTCGGACACGAGAATTTCACCGTAATGACCAATAATGAGTAGCGTCTCATCATAGTAAAAATATTTGTAAACTCTTTAAAAGAATTATTTATTACTTTGGATAACATAAATAATTTTATTTTTAATTTAAAGTAAATATGACATCGTGAAACCGCCAATCTCTTTGCGACATAAAGAGTTAGATATTGTAGAACCAACACCGTGCGCAACGTCCCATGTATTTGTATTTGTGCGGTTCCAAAAAAAAAACCACGTGCTGGTCGGGACAAACAGCTAGACAGAAGCAGGGCTTGGAGCACGTGGATTAGCGGAATCAAAGCATATAAATATAAGAAATAACTGTCTTATTTTTCAATTTCATGATGATGATCAATCGATTGGCTTGCGTGATAATTTTATGCATAAACGTCTTCGGCGTTTATGCAAATTATCACGCAAGCCAATCGATTGATCACATCATGAAATCGAAAAATAAGACAGTTATTCCTTAAATGAATTTCTTATACGATTATAACGAATTACGTATGTAGCGAAATAATTTCATGGGTCCCATTGACTTCGTTATGACCGAGGTTTACTGTACATGTACAAGTATATTAGCTACCACACCGCGGCATCAGTGATTTACGAACACATCTTGTTATCATCAGAAATGATTTTAAAATAAAATTTTCCATGAATAAATTGTTTCATATACCTGTTTTATGAGGGCACGGCGTTCCTTTAAGTGCTTTCTGTCTAGAAACCCTTTGATTGCAGCCTGAATCAGTACTGCAGACTTTCTCATTCTTTGGTAGAGGTCTCTGGCCCGCTTGCCTCTGTAACAGGCCTGCATGGTCACAGCTGACGCTTTCAGAGTATAGTATTTCTTTTGGGTCTCTTTCATGGCATGACATGCTCTATATTGACTCTGTATTATCCGTGCTGACTTCTTCAATTTACCATACTTCCTTTGTTCTGTACATTGTCGCATAAAGGACTGAACAGTTATTGCTGCTTCCTAAAAAAAATAAATAAAATCAGAATCTAAACGTACATAAACATATCTATTTTTAGGATCACCAAATTATATAGTCACAGATGCTAAAATTCAATGAAAGATTAGCCTTTCTTTAGAAAAAATTTAATTGAAATTTGACCAAGTAGTTCTAGAATTTGAAAAGTTTACATACAGTTCATGACAGGCAGATGTATATGTATGCTAGTAGCAAGCACTCTTTAATCAGAATAGAACATGTTAATGTTTATCTCAAGTGAGATTAAAAACAAAAACAAAGAACTGAACATATTTTTTAAGTATCCTCAAGCTTGTCTAAAGAGGAAGTTTAATTTTAATCTAAAACATATAATCCAATACATGTGTTGAGGAGTCAATACTGTGTATTGGGTAGATATTAATCTTAGGTGTTTGAGGTGATACTATAACCCATCAACATATAAGTATTCATGCATTTTAAAAAGTCAAGTTTAAAAGATTAAACTTACTTCGTTTTTCTTGTCAGTCTTTTCTTCTGCCTGTAAAAGACACATTATGAAAAACATTTAATTAGCAAAAGCCATATTGTAAAACCTATTTCTTCAAAACAATTAATTCATGATGTTCGGGTTTTATTAAAACAAAACATGAACAATACACACATATATATATATACTAATTACCATCATTTCATTAAAGATGTTCAATTTTATGTCGGGATTTTTTTTGAGTTCTTCTTTGAATCTCTTCTTTATACTTTTGAGGAAAATCTAGAAAAGATAAAACAGATTTATTTTTTCAACACGGTGTCTTAATTTTTCATTATGTTTAGTTGATTGGACTTAAATTACCAGAAATTGAGACAAATCATAAAAGACCAGTAAGGTTTTTGAACAAATATAATTATCTAATTCTCATATATATATGACCTAAATGCATATATCTACTTGAATATTAACTTAATTAACATTAAATTTATTTTCTTATGTACCATGTGATACACATCTAATACACAGGGAAAATAGCAATACTAGTAATCAAACACTCTGAAATATTGGTTATCAGTCAAACTCCAGTGCTAAGAAAAAAGTCCAGAAAGAAAAAGTAGGATTAAGTGCCCAAGCATTAATTAAATGTGTATCCTATTTTTGTTTCACATTTAACGAAAAAGATTTAGATGCATATAAACCAGCAACATATAATTTCAAATTCCAATAAAAAGAACTTTAATTATTTTTACTTACCACTGCTTTGATCTGTACCTGGCGAGGGTCATATGCATCCATCATAAATGGCTCTCGATCTGTACCATACTTTTAGATACAAGAAATATTAAAAAAAAAAAATAAGTATACAGCAAAAAGATGGCCCTACAAAAATAAATCTGCCACCAAATGTGATTGACGGACGTAGTTTGGCAAGCGCAAAATTATATTTAAATTATTTAATTTTAAGTAAATGACAGAGTTACATAAAATAGTTCATACATTATCTAGGTACACTTTCTCTTCTTTTATTTATAAATACTTACCACTATCATGTGTGCTGCCTTGAGGCATATATCCTCTGCAATGTCCTTTTCGAGTTTTCCTTTCTCTTCTTCGAACACTTGCATCAAAAATGACTATATATGAAAACAATAAATGAAGGCCAGATTTAATATGCTATGAAAAATTTAAATGTAATTGATTACAATAAATATAGTTTGGACTAATGACATAAATTTGTATGATTGTATTACCAATATCTTTAAGACATTATTTACAAACCTTTGTAAAAGTCTGCAAGCCAGTCCCCTCGCACATAAATCTGTCTTGCTTCAGCTACATAAGGAAATAAATTATATATGCATGCTACTAATTAAAACATGTACAACAACCGTTAAATTTTATATAAAGTAATTTAATATGATTATTATATGTTTGTGTACATGAAAATAATAAGACTGTTCAAAATCAATTTGATATATACATGTACATGTTCTACATAATAATGTATTCTCTTTTTCTGCAATACATTGATTTCTACAGACTCAATTTTCACATGCTGTTAAAATTAAATTAAATTACAATACATTAAATATTACCATATCTAGAACCTTCATGAATTCCTCTAACACTTTATCAAATATTCTTACATATTTCTCTTCCACAAGCTGAAAGAAAGATTTAAAAAGAAATTATTATTTTTTTTTTTTACAAATTGTAACTGAAGAAAGAAATTAAAATGAGGTGTACCGGAACAGTTTTCAAGGAATACCCCTAGCCATTACCCATTGTTAACTTCACATTTCTGTTTTTTTTTTTTTCAAAGATTTTCCTATTTACTTTTATATAAAGCCTTAGGCCATCTATAGTTTTTATAAATTGTCACAGGACTCTCCCTTGCCCATGCATTGCAGGGACAAGTACCCTTTTAAACTTGAACATAAATTGCATGGAAATGGATGGATAACCTTCGGATAATCTTTTTGAAAAGTTAATTAAGCATTTTCCGAATAGCCATTTGTATTTTGTCCCAATAGTCCTCTATATAAACATCCATCCCTTCCCGACAACAACGAAAAAGTTCGTCAACATTACGAAAACATTTTAAATCGTCCTCATACATTCTTATAAATGTCAAGTGCATACTGCATACAAACAAGATTTATTTCTTACTAGAGTCCTTTTAATGCTGTCCAGCATTTTGATTTTGTTGAACTCACTAGATATCTTTCACAAACAAAGTTGCTTTGGAGTATTGTGACGTTTTATGACGATTTGTATTGTTATTTTATGACAAATTTGTATTGTGACGTTTTATGACGACTTGTATTGTGACGTCATAGAACTTACAGCGTAGCTATTATTTTGCTAACAAAAGACAGATATCAAATCTAAATAATTTTAAAGATTAAATGGCACTCAAACAGTTTAGGTTTTGTAAATTTGGATAGAATGCACTTTACCGGTACGGCCGCCATTTTGATTCTAGATCCGCGCGTGAGAGTGCGCGGCGTAAAAACTTAGCAACGTATCAACTATGATGGGCGACGCCATTTTGTTGTGTAAGAAACTCTCGAAGCGAGAAAAAAAGATATCTAAATGGGTTTTCGCTTTTTTAAGCGGGGGTGTGGGGGCGGCAGCCCCCAATACGTAAAAATAAATAAAACAAACTTACCTTAGTCGTTAGATAAATCTGCGTTAAGACTCGGGGCCACACCTACGTGTCACTATACATGTAGAACCATTGTGTCTTTTTTTTGATGAGTTGTAAATACGTTTTTATGGGTGATGAAGGAGATAAACGTCAATTTTAAATTATAGCCACTATCCTAGTGCATTCTTGTTTTAGTAGAGATTTCCTATATAACTGCATTCCATGTGGTCTCAATGATTGTAAAGTATCCAGTGTTTTGCAAATTGAAATAGATAAATTTTAGTTCGTAAATCCAGGATTTACTGCAGCTCTGTTTCCAGAAATCTAAGATGTGACTCTTACGTTTCATTTTTCTTATACTGCCGATTGCTGTTTCTCGAAACAAGACCGTCCTCACTGCATGTTTACAAGGTTTGCCCCTCCACTTATTCAACATTTCCATAAACTAAGGATCACATTTATCGCTAAAATTTCCAAAAATTCTAGTATGTTGCAGTCAGTCAATTAAAAATATCCATTCATAGAAAACACAACACAAATCATCGTAAATAAGGTGCATGAGAATCACTGTTTACAATCAAATAGAGTGGAAGCCAAACTTTCTATTTCACGTCACCTACCATGACCAATCACAGCACTGAAATAAGTCACGTGCTTAACAACATCACGACTTTGGAATGTGGCCGATAAAATGAAAGCCAAAGGTTTGTTTTGAAAGTGCTTTTAGTTTTAATTAATAACTTCGTTAATTAAACGAAGTTTATTAACATGAAAAATGACGAGGAATTCAAAAAATAGGTTATTTTTGCATTTTATTGCCTTTTTAGCGAAATCGTCACGCTGACGCGTGACTCTCTTATAGAGAAGGAACACGTGCTATTTCCATGTTATTTGGACGTACCGGTAAAGTGCAGTTGTCCCCTTACAAATTACGGTATTCTGCGATTTTTTTAAGGACCTGGACAGATTCAACATCAATTTGATGGGGGTTTTTTTCCAGCGAAAATCTTCAAAAATTCTCCTAGCAAATGGATATTTTCGATTTTTATAAGTTTTAATCTAATTATGACGTGTTTTAGGAAGTATCTATATAAAGCATGAGATCATTCTTCTCTAGGTTAAATTTTGGCTGTTGAATTTTGAGAGATATGTATGTTTACCCTGAGACAGGTTGCATGAGATTTAGCATGCGAGGTACTTTGTGTACATGTTAGCTATTTTATGAGTTATGTAAGGTTTTCAAAAAAAAGTTTGAAAAAAACATTTAAAGCCCAGATCGATGTGGAGTGAAACAGGCCAACGCGCCCAACTCAACAAGATAAAAAAAACGGGGGTCACATCGTTCTCAGGTCTAGGTCATCTTGCTGTTCCGAAACTTTTCAACGGTTTCCTCCTATGTTTAAACATGTACCGGTACCCATGAAATTTTAATCACACATTGTGACCATAACATACATTAAGTTTCGAAGGGATATGAATAAATAAATTAAATGTAATAATTAAAATTAGGGACGCTTTTATAAAGTTATATTTGGTCAAAAGTAAATTATGATTTTATTTTAACAATAGATATTTCATTTAAACGCAATTTCCCTAAATCTTACTAAGAGGTCAATTTTAGCCCCAATACCATGATTCTTTCACTTATCCCCGAGTACACGAGCCCCGTAACCATATAAGCGGAAAGCATATGTCGCCTTACTCTCTAAATTGTTTTTGAACTGGTTTTGTTTGCAACACTTAGTTACCACCGTGAGCCAACGAATTGCAGTTACTGAACTGAGTATAGCGCTCCAGTCTTTAACGTATGACATACGTATATATGTACATATACTACGTCGTTTTTGAGAAATATGTAGATAACGAACAATATATTCAAACTCAAAAGTCTCATTCTAACAATACAAATGAGGAACATATCAAACACGGGCATCTCACACATCAGAGATGGGATCAGGTGTCATGGAGGAGTAAGCATCACTCGCCGTGTGCTCCTTGTCCTGGTCGAAAAAAGGGAACATTCCTAGAGAGTTTAGTGTGTAAATAATATTAGAACAATAAGTATGAACTGGAGTGTTCCAATGAACGTATGTGTCGCCTGCTTTAAGCTTCTTTAAAGATGTAACTAAATCTAAGAGTGCTCAGCTATTTATATATGTATGCTACTAGCACACATACAGTACTTCATTCAAAAAATCTAGCGTGATAGTTCATAAATGCACAGGAAACATCCACAAATAATATGACTGCGATTGAGTCTGTCTATCAAAAAATATGATTCCGATCCTAAAATGAATAATCATTATAAATAATAATATTTATCATTTCACATGTGTTAATAAGTGTTTCAAAGTCTTCATAACAATTGTCACTCTGCATGATCCGTTGCGTGATCTCAATCCCCATGTATTTTCATAATATTTATACTTCCCGTTTGAAAAGCGGGAGGGTATATATAATGATCGGGATGTCCGTACGTCCGTCTAGCTGTCCGTCCGTACGTCCTTCTGTTACGCTTTGGGGTACCCATCTTTTATCCGCAACTCCTCTCATACAACTGAATAAAATTTGATGAAACTTTCACAAAATCTTTATTACATATTACCATTGTGCACCTATTATTTTGCCTTTTGATCCGACACTTATTTTGGGTTTCCCATCGCAAACCATGGACATTGCCATTATATTCATATTTTGTCTTATTTTTATTTTAGTGTTACTTCCCTTTGCCCGTCCGAGTTGTTACATGCATTTTGCCATTATAATCATATGGGGGCGGGGGTATCATTTAGTGAGCTTAGTACTCACTGTACCTCTAGTTAAATATCAGTTTGTGTGGTTACTGAATTTCATACAGTTTCAAAGAACAAGTATAATAAGCTCATAAACATGTATAAATGTTAATTATCAACACCCGCAACTCAAAATTCAAAAGTCTTCAGTTTTATTGAATTTTACGGGTTATACTTGGTAAAGTAAGTTTCAGGTCAAGGTCAAATGAATTGTAAGGCTGATATTTTTCATAGTTTTCATAGTTCCGTAACCACAAACAGCCATTTGGTAGCGTTGAAAGGTAAGTAAATTATCAGGTATTGAAGTTAAAGTTTTATGATGAATTATCAAATACCATTGTTAAAACTGAGAAAAGTATAAAATACAAGAAAAATACCCGAAGTGAACGACGAAAATTCGTCGGCGTAAATCGAAGGTTTTTACAACGCTTGGATCTGTAGCTCTCTGCTTTATCTGTCCTAATTTTCTCAAGCAGAGAATTATACAGTTCTGCCGCTACATAATGCGAAATAGCAAGTACATATCTTTAACAATTCATAAGATACAAGGTGTGACAGACGGAGGGACAGACAGACAGGCAGACGCCGGTTAAAGTGACCCCTTTGTGCCGATATTGGACTGATATTACTGCGGTTGTTTCATCAATTTGTTTGTCAATAGCTTGCATAATTCTAAATATTGGACGAGAGTAGAATATGCTCTTGCGTATCGAATTAACTGAGAGACATAATCTACAGGCACTTGACATTTTTATCCTTAGCCACGACCTGTAAAAGTTTGGATCGGGGTCGAGCGGAGCCGATCGGCGTTTTAATCGAGCTACTAGTATTCAACAAATTAAGGTCTTCATTACGACCGTAGTACGATGCCCCTACGTCAAACGCGCTGCTAACACGTTTCTACTACGATGTTACGCAGACCGTTGCCGACCAGCGGCCGCGTTTACTGCGTTGCGCTACGCTGCCGCTACGACATTCAAGATCACACTATGACGCTATACAATTCGAAATGATTACACAGGTACTTGTGGAAAGGACACCCCCCCCCCTATATTCAACCCCGGGGTTTATTGGACTTTTTTCACAAATTATATTTATTACACTTAATCATTATGTGTACAATAGGAAAAAAAATCGTAAAACCCCCAAAATAATTGCTCCACAAAAAATACCCTACTATACGTAATAAGAGAGAAAGGTATATATGCCACTCCGGTTTGTTTACGTTGTTCCCCTACTAGTCTTTCTGGGTTTAAAAACATGTATTTATTTTATTCCAACCTAAAATGTCGATTCTCAATGTCTCTACAGTATATATTTCTGTCTTAGTCCATGAAGTGCATAAAGAATGTATTACCTATTATGCAGTGGCGTAGCATCGTTTTTGAAAGTAGGGGGGCCAGCCAGAGAAAATTTTTTTTTTACTTACATGAAAAAGTTGACAAGCAAAAAAAAAAAAGAAGGAAAAAGTTGCCCAAAGTCGAAAATCCTATTTCGGGGGGGGGGGGGGGTTAAACTTTTTCTCAGTGTCAACTACTTTTAGTACCCATTCTAATACTACATTTTCGGTACATCACTAAAAGTAGGGGGGCCAACCAGGCTTTCAATTAACATTTCCTATAGTATAAGTAAGGTTGGGAAAAAAAGTGGGAGTCCCCCCCCCCCCCCCCCCCCCCCCCCCCGGTTGCTACGCCCCTGTTATGATAACACCCGAGAGAGATCATTGATTACGGTGAACCTGGATAACGAATTTATTTCCTTTGTACCCATAACAATGCTTTAGAGTGTGTCTCAACATATCGATTTGCTTTGTATTATAGAAAAACTATGCATTGTGACGTCACGTTTTATTTACACCCGGCTCAAGTCGGGTGCACGGATATTTACACCCGACTTTGTAACCAATTCACGCTTCCACATCGTCACGGGTGACGCAGTTGCTATCTCCGCACAGCCAATCAGAATCGTGGAAAAATTGTCAGCCATTAGCTCCGACAAAACACAGCTGTCGGATGCTGCGAGGGTACATCGT